AGAATTAGAACCAGAGAATGGAAGTAATTCGTTACTTGTAACGAAGTTACAGTTACAAGTTACTTTTTTGGTAACTGTCTGGTAACTGCATTACTTTTTTTCTTTGGTAACTGTAACGGCAACGAAGTTATATTTTTTTGATAACGGTAACGAATTTTACAGTTACTTATATCGTTACTTTGCACATGATTGAACACAAGCCACTCACACTGTAAAAAAATTTCTTTACACATATAATAGATGTAAAATAGATTACACGATTAGTCCTGTATATATAAAAAATCATGGAATTTTACAGAAATTACGTAAGTCCACAAGAATTATGTAAATTTTATTGTGTAAATATATCTTATTTTATATCAAAAATTATTTAAATAGCAGGATATTTTGAATATTTTCTGTAATTATCCAAATTTTAGTAATATTACGTAATATAACAGAAATTTTTCGCGTATTGCTATTAAATGTATAATAATATATAGTGCGAAATGTATATTGCCATATTATCGTTCCTGTAGCTACACATACACGTTGTAATTGTACTTCCACAATCTGCTTAGTTACAAACCAAGAAATTATTTTTATTTACATATTGCAAATTTACGAACGTGTGGACGTTTACTTTATTATAGTGGGTCTTAAAATTATCCACTATAATAGTTGTAATTTTACACAACAATACTTTACAGTGCATAGCGTTTGAGACTAGAGAACGGTCTTACCTAGGCCCGTCCGCCATGATTGGCGGTCGTAGATTTAAAAAAAAAGTAACGGAAAAGTAACGAAAATTTACTTTCTCAAGTAACGGTAACTGCAACGAGTTAATTTTAAAAATCGATAACTAGTAACGGTAACTTGTTACTTTTTGTCCTCGGTAACGAGTAACTGCAACTTGTTACTTAATTTTAAAAAGTAACTTTTTATTCTGATTAGAACATAACCTGTTACACTTCCTTTAACAAATAAAGATTATTCCTATAAATTGTGCATTTATTTTATTCAATTGCCATTTTCGCTGGACGAGCCAACAAAAGGAGTGGAAGTAAAAAAAAAGGAGCTATTATTATTACGTTATTATTGGCACAGCTAAATCAATATGTAAACTCAGTGTTCGAAAAATACAAAAATCAAGAAAACGTCGTGTGAAAAAGTAAATTTCGTCATTGGACGTTACCGTAAAAATCCGACAGCCGACAGTAGACAGATGATCCAAATCGGATTACGATGAAATCGTAGGAAATAAAGTAAATTGCGGAGCAGAGACGCTAAACAACCACGTGGAAATCAAAATGGTGGAATCCGTGGCATGATGTCCGTGATACAGCCATGCTGCGATTGCCACGAATGCCTGCCGATTGCCGCGTGCGCGATGTCTTCGAACGTTTCTTGGAACCTCGAACCATAAAATACAAAATAGAATGAAGAGACGGGTACGTTTCGATATGCGTCCAATAGCTAATGGGCGCGTTCAAGTCGACAAAGCGACTGGCCAAGCATTTAAACATGATTGGTTGGATCCACAGGTAAGAACCAATCATGCTCATTCGCTCGGCAAGCGTGCCTAGCCGCTTTGCTGTCTTGAACTTGCCCAATAGTAGAGGTTTCTCTCTGCTTCTACCATGGAGGACGGAGCATCTACCATTGGCTGCGTTCAGCAGCTCAGCAGTTTTGCAACCGTTTTGTGATTCTTCACTGAGATAGGACTATTCCTTTAATTCTAAAAGTATAATCCAATCACCGCGATGAATCGTAAAACGATTGCAAAACTGTTGAGTCTGCTGAACGCAGCCATTTCAACCAAAAGCAACCACGGCCAGATTTTGCTTTGTAACATCGGAATCCTGTTTTCTGATTGGTTGCAGAAGGTGCGTTCCGTATCGCGCATGATGTGCATGATGCATCCATTGTCCTTGTTTGACATTTGGTGAGCAACAAGGATAAACAATGCATCATGCGAGAAACGGAACGCACCCAGAGTGTCGTACGACGCAAATCGGACGCAGTGTGAATCCAGCAATATGGGTGTGGTCTCATTATAAATGCTTTGAAATATTTGATTGACCAATCGGAAGAAAGAATTTTACAAATTGACCTATCAAAGAATGTTTCGAAGCACTCGTAGCATCACGTCGACCGTACCCGATGTCTCCGATGATCTCCATGGACCCCATGTGATGTACGCGTTCGTTGCCGTGGAAACGATATTACGCCGGAACGCGGATCGCAGGGCCGTCTACGACGATTGTGACGCCCGTTAATAAAAAATTATGTGAACCTCGAAATTTCCGACTGACCTTATATAAAATGATCTCTACGCGTATTTGCTACGACAATTAAAAAAGGATAAAGAGTATATTAAAATTGATATACATTGGTAAAAATAAATGATAATGGATATAAATTACGACGAGCGGAACCAAATAGAACGTCTGACAATGGACATCACCGTCGCGATTGGAAATCTTGTTTATTGTCATTTCTACGGCACTGAACGTAGTTGTACTCCTAATATTGTGAATGAAAAGGGACGCGCGGCGGCAACAATAACGACTCCGCTGGAACAAGTGCCTTATCAATCTTGTGCAGCGGTGCAGCGATATCGACGAAGATGTCTTGCTGCGCCGGTAGCAAGAACGATGAACGCGCCGAGCCGACACGAGTGCGGGGATGCACGGATGTTTTTTGGCTCTGCTTCTTCATAGCGTTTTGGTTTCTTATGGTATGTATATAGTTGATACTGTATATATCTGATGCCACGCATTAATTTCTTACCTTTTTTTATATAACAGACACATTTGCAACAATATTTTGGCATTTAAAATATATTTCGGGGTATCTGAGATACACACACACACACACCGCTGATTCTATCGAGAATATAGTTTCTACAAAGTGTCTGTTAGAAATTTTATTGGTAGCAGGATTGGTAAAGACTAATGTTTTTTTTAAGAATAAAACATATTGTGTTTCTTCCTAAATATGTTATTAATGCTTCAAATATGCTTTAAACAGTACGATAAAAAAAACATTTAAAACATATTAAAAACATCAATTAAACATGTTTTAAACTGTTAAAAATATGTTTTTTATCGATCCTGATTGGTAGGGAAGCTAAAGATTTAATACAAAATCTGACATAAATGTGTATATGTTTTTTGTAGCTATAAACTAATGTACATTTATTGTATTTGAAAAGAAAATTATATTTCAAATTTATTAAAAGTGAGATAACAGGTTTTGGTGCAGCGACAAAGAACAGGGTAGTACTGTGCTAGTAGGAATATAGCAAAGTTTGTCAGTAAGATACAATGATAGATTAATGGCTAAAATTAAACAAAATTTGCTTACTGTATAATTGCTATACAGGTTATATATATATATATAGGAATCTGTGACTTGCTATTGAGATTGATGATAATTGACTTGCAATTATTAGTGACTTATGATGACATACAATTATACTGACACACACACACACACACATATATATAACTTAGATAGCATTCACATAGTTTATTGAAAAAGATATTTTTTTATTTTAGTTTTTATAAATAAATTTAAAGTTTATTACAATATAACGTAACAATTTATTTATTATGTACAGATCTTGATTGCTGCTTTTGCAATAGTCTATGGCAATCCTATACGGCTCATAAATGGATACGACAGTTTTGGAAACACGTGTGGCATGAAGAATAATCCAAAGTTTGGCAGCATGGAGCTTTCTGGACAAGATACCAGCGACAAACCGTCAGTCACATATATTTCTTCCTAATTGAACCAAAGCATTCATTCCTGTGATAATACTTCTGCAAATAAATATGTTATATTCCAGATACTTATTCTTCCTAGATATAAATAATGTCACGCAGTCATTGAAGATTTGTGTGAAGAAATGTCCCGACAAAATTTTGCGGACAATGAAGGATATCTGTAAATTTTACAAAGAAACAGGATCACAGTTGTGCCACGATAGACCGGGTGGTGGTTTCAGTGCGTGCAACAGCGAAAGTAGTATATTTAAGAACGGATCTTGCCCTGAACGACCGGTTTACCCCGGTATACCTGTTTTAAATCGGTGTATCCCTAGGGCAGTGAAGGAAGTGAGCGAAACAATAATCTCAAATTTATATGGCTTAATCAATTCGTGGGATGTTATTGAACAGGTTCTGGGAGATTTATGTAAAACCTGGAAGCAAATTCTGGCATTATCTTTTGTTGCCTGTGGTAAGAATTTAGCATACTATTGCATAATAACATATGTAGAAGCTGTATATAGAATGTACTTAACTAATCTTTTTGTTTCAGTTTTATCACTCTTTACAATAGCTATTTTTCATTTATTGGCAAGTGTTGTAACATGGATTATAATCGTACTTGTAAGCATTGCTTCCACAGGTAAGTTGCATTTTGGAAAACTATGAACTTACAAGGAAATCCAGCTTTTCAATGAATGTATACATACATGCCAAATAAATTAGCTTATAAATGAACAATATTTGTAGACAATAAATAAATATACATCAATAAGTGTATGCGCTTCTCACAGAAAGGAATTGCTGTTAAAATAAAAACACAAGAAAGATTTCTCAAGATAATATTTTTATGAAATTATAATTGTTTACATTGTATATCTATTGTTGATCAATGATTGTTGGTTAAGTAAATATAGAAATAAATTGAGCTATTAGCTATTTGAATTTGAAAATGCACATGTAATGTACTTAGAAAATTTAATACTTACCTTTCTAAAACTTTTAGTGAATCTCACTTTAAAAATAAAATCTTACTCTTAAAGATTAAAAATTTTCCATTTTTTTCGTGGCTTAATTTTCACTCCTTAGAGTGAGAGTTCATTTTAAAGAATTTAGAAAGTAGCTTTGACTAGTAAAATCAAAGATATAACATTTTTTATTCTACTATTTTTTAGTTTCGAAAATGTGCGTAGATGCTATGAACATATCTGTATCTTTATATTTTAAAGAATTAGCTTGTAGAATATAAAATTGATGTAAAAAATAGTTTATAAATGTTATACTTATGTTTCTATCTTTTTTAAAATTACTTATGTATATGTCTATACAAATTATCATAGATAATAAATCTGAAAACTTATCTTATATTTGATATATATTAAGCAGATTTTATTATAAAGAAGTAATAATGGCATTTTTATTTACAGCGGGTACAATTCTTTTATGGATGACATATGTTGATATTAAGAAAACCTTGGACAAAACTGATCCAAACCAACTTCTTGAAGAAGCTGTCAGAAATGAAAGAGCATTTCTCGCATTTTCCATTATTGCTACTATTATCACTGTAAGTTATTCTATAATAAAAAAGATATGTATTTATCTGTATTTATAAATATACTCATTAACTTTATTATAAATAATATAGAATTTCTTTTCTTAATTTTTTTCATTTTACAGGTTATTTTACTGTTTCTTTCATGTATATTACGCAAACGCATCAATTTTATGGCAGCACTATTCAAAGAAAGTGCAAAATGCTTAAGAGAATTGCCTGGCTTATTTTTCCAACCAATCTTAACATTTATATCTTTAATATTGTTTTTTGCTTTTTGGATATTTGTAATTCTTTGTCTTGCGACAGCAAGTAAGTATCTTACAATAAATGTAACTGAAAATCAAGCTTATTTTATGATCATAAGTAAAAATTTCTTATGCTTTATTATAGATTATCCTGAAACAAAATCAGTACAAATGTACAAAAATACTATATTTGATCCTGTCAACTTAAGCTCGGTTGGTGAAAATGCTCCATTAATTGAGGAGAAAAAAATAGATTTTTCTCTTGATTCTTTCAAAAGTAATTTATTGTTCCATATGTATATGTATGTATATGTATGTGAAAAAATGCATGCGTACACATATCTTGGCTGTGTTCCAAAATTGACTTCCAGTGAAACTCAAGAGATAGTAATATCTCGGTGCTAAGACACGCACAGTCTACAGTTTGTGTTGTGTACATTATAAATTTTCAACATTGGCAATGTAAATTTTGGAACATAGCCTTATAATTAATAAAGAAAATGAAATAAAATAAATTATTGAACATTTCAGCTTTTACTCTCGTGGAATATGTTGATGCAACTTGGGTAAAATACATGTGGTGGGTATATCTTATAGGATTAATATGGACATCGGAATTTATTGTTGGATGTCAAGGAATGGTAATATCAGGTTCTGTTGCCCACTGGTACTTCAGGTAATATTTATAACAGATTGGTGTAGAATATATGTGTAGACATATTTATATTCGATATGCTTTAATAATGACCAATTTCTCTCATTAGAGATAAAAACGCCAGCTCATTTCCAGTATGTTCATCCATAGGACATTTAGTTTGCTATCACATGGGCTCTGTAGCATGTGGATCACTTTTGATAACCATGTTTAAATTACCTAGATTGATTTTAACATATTTGTATGCCAAGTAAGTTTTTTCGTAAAAAAAAGATCCAGATCACTTTTTATCAAGGATTTTTCTATTCTTGATTACATCCTTGAATACATGTTATATATATCTTCTTATTTTACAGATTCGAAAAAACTAAGGAAACATCTCCATGCTCTCAGTGTGGTTTAAAATTCTGCATTTGCTGTTTCTACTGTTTGGAAAAATTCATTCGCTATATGAATCATAATGCATATACTGTTGTTGCTATAGAGGGTACCCACTTTTGCAACGCGGCCAGAATAGTATGTTCCAGTCTTAAAAGATTTTATATCTATCTTTATAGAGAGTAGACAGTAGAAATAAATAAATAAATATAATGGTATATTTTATAATAAAATAATGTACATGTTTTATTAACATAATAAGATATGAATTTTTTTTATATTTTGTAATTTCTTTAAGGCTTATGCAACACTCGTCAGTAATGCTCTTCAAATAGCAGTAATTAATGGATTTGGCGATTTTATATTATTCCTGGGAAAGTGTTTCGTTACAGCTGCAACCGGAAGCATCGCATTACTTTTTATGAGACAAAACCCGGAGCTACACTTTTATGCTATCCCGATTTTTGTTATTTGCGTTTTCTCGTTTTTCATTGCTCATTGTATAATTTCCCTTTACGAAGTAAGTTAAATATACACACACACCAACATATTTCATATGAGAATGATTTTTATTAAATGATATCTTTTATAATCATTTATTATTTTAGACTGTTATCGACACGCTATTCTTATGTGTATGCGAGGATAAGAATTTAAACGGTGAAAATGGAAAGTGGCGTCAATCTGCATTAGCACAAATCGGAGCCTCTAGCAGTAACGCAAACGGACAACAATCTCATGAAATGACACCGATAAACGGATAAGTATCCGATATTTTAGATACGTCTTTTTTATACACATTTTTGTACACATATTTTTTTATATGATAGAATACTTACTCTTGCATTTTATCACTAATAAGATTAATCATGGTGGAATTATAGAAGGTGTGTCGTTGCGCATAACGGCGGCAGAGAGTGGGGGGACATTTTGTCAACCAATCACGTAGGGCCCATTCTATACGCGTGGAATTCAAACGTTCACAGTAGATGATTAATAAAAACAGTATTAGAGAGAGAGAGGAGAGAGAGAGAGAGAGAGAGAGAGAGAGAGAAGTTAAAATAACGATGAAATCTTTATTTTAACCTATTAAAATATAAAATATTACAAACTGTAACCATATTACTGATTAGAAATACGATTGCACATATTTTTTATTTTTCTTTGTTTTCTTATTACATTATTTATTTTTATTTGCATATTTACATTGCGCAACCTAATATCTGGTTCGCACCAAACATGCGATTACCTCCGTTGGAAATTTGTACTCAAGCTTCAGACCTACTTTCGCAGTTAATGTATGAAAAATGTTGTCCTGCATATTAAAAAAGTCTCCGTGAAATAATTGAAATTCAGTATCCATGATTTTTTTGCTGCTTCCATGAAATCATTGGAAGGAACGATATAATTTCCACGCGAAATACATGAAATTCAATCAGTTTTACACGATAATCGATCACACGGTCGATCTGTTATAATAACACGCTAAACACGCAGTGCCCCGAAATAAACACAGCCATATAGGCCCGTATTCAGAACGCGCTTACAACGATGTTAGTACACTAACATATATACTTTACGTCACGTATATTATAGAATTTCAGAGATAAAAGTGCGCTTTTATCGATAAAAACGGGTTCTGAATACGGGCCATTGGATTTTAATCGAATGGGCCCCCCATGATTGGTTGTCCACTCCCTACTACTTTTAGGCTACTGCGCATCCACGGGAACGACACACCTTCTATAATTCCACCATGAGATTAATAAGAGTACATTCCTTTCGTTCACGCGTGCAATATTTGTATTGTTATGCAAACAATAATTTGTCTCGAGTTATTTTTATAACTAAAAAAAAATATTTAAATTTTATATGAAAATATGATTCGTTCATAGTATATTTTTAATATATGACGAGATTTATATTAATAAGAAAGGTATATTATAAATAAGTGAAATACTTGTTTAATTGTGTGTGATTTCAAAATATCGATTTTCTCGTAGTATTTAAGAAACTCATTTTTTAAGATTACAGATCTTCTTTTGTGATAAATTATGCTAGAATATTCTGAATTATTAGTTATACTTTTTACTCTTTAGTTACAGAATATTCTGAATTATTAGTTATCTCAAAAAGATATTTGAAGATATTTTGGTAATCTTGATTGACATGTAAAATATTCGTAATTGCAAATATCTTACTATTTGATAATGTGAACGAATTATGATTATAAAACAGAAAATAACATGGTGTCAATTAATTGCTCACTTTGAGATTTAAAATCCGCTTGTATTTAGGGCTAACTTTTGATTTAACTGCCAGATTTTAAAATATTACAGAATATTTTACAATATTCACTAGAATCATTGTACTTCAAAAAGAAGTTAGATTATGATATTATATTTTATAAGAATTTTTCATTTTGTGGAATATATGTTTTACTCAGTACTAAATATCTAATTGATGAATAAAGATAAAGACTAGATTAGATTTTTATCTTTTCTCTAAACTTTGTATCATTGAAGTGCCATTGCACAAATTGAAAACTCTGTGTCTTAAGATATATAATAATATTCATTTTATTGCTTGTATACAATAAGAGAATAAGAGATTAATATTTTTAGATTTTAAGCATACGTATAAAGAAAAGCAAGTGCAAGTCAATAAAGCTATAAAGTACAATTATCATTTACAAAAAAAAAACGCATTCCAATGCAGCAAAGTGCAATTATTTGTAGTTCAAGAAATTGTCAACACATAAAATGTGGATCATTTATATATTAATGAAAAGAATTGTTCCTCTGCTAATTGCAAATGAAAAACCTATTTTCTAAACTTTACACACGCTTCATTCCTTCCAATCAAAAAGTTTAAAATAAAATAATTAAATGTCCAATTCACACTTAGATAATAAGAGGTTTTTATACTTCGATGTACAAAATATATATTGTTAGATATTTTAATAGAATGTATTAAGCAAGCGTTTGTGCGAGATAAATTAAAATATATATATCTAATTGTATGTTTCTAAGATATATTTAAAGTATTTTAGATTGATATAAATTTGTGTTAATAAATATAACATTAATTACGAAGTACAAAGCAGTATCAACGTATTCTAAATATTCAACGGTATTAATAACATATTGTATTGTGTTGTACTAATATTGAGAAATTTTGTTTTTTGCTGATGAAGACTCAAATCATGAGTGGAAACGTTCAAAGTCAAGATTTATATTTTTAGTATTAAGAATTGCGCTAATTGATAACCAGCGTTTACTCCTATTGCCTGTACTGTATGTTTTGTTTTTTCTAAATTGTTTTATTTTTTTTAATTACACATATATGAAACACATGTTCGTGATTGAAAATATTTGTATTGATAGCTTTGAATGATTTTATTATTAAACTTGAATAATTTACGAGCACAATACTTGTAAAGAAAAGGCAATTCAAAATTAATTATGTATGTACTTAATAACATTATACACATATATGTAAATATATATATGTACATGAGATTATTTAATTAATCTTCATGAAATCATCATATAAATAATGTAAGAACTAGAAGATTTTTTTATCACTTTCCTCTTTCTTTATATTTATTTAAAAATTCTCATTATGTTAAAGTTTTATTTATAGATATTATTAAATAATTCCATCGTACAAGAAAACATCTCTCATTTATCATATTAAAAATATATTTTATTAATGATATTACAAAATAATATTCATTTTATCTTCTTCTTTTTTGAATTTGATTTTACAGATTTTGCTTTTTTAACTTTTTTAGCTACCATGGGCTTCTTTTTTATCTTTTTCACTTTGTTTTTCACAAGCTTTTCTGTATTTTCATTTTTATCCGTCTCAAATTTTTCTTCCATTTCCATTGCTTTTTCCAATAAGTCACCCTTAAATATTTCATCTGTGGGATTAACTGCATAGGACAAGTCAGGTTTATTTGCCTGTTGTACCATTTTCTGTTCCACTCTATTTATATACTTATTAGCAGCCTTTTTTGCTAATGATTGACGAAGCTAAAATTTTTTATAAATTATAAGAAATATTATATAAATAAATACAAAAAACAGATCAATCATAATGCATTTATTAAATATAAAATAAGACTTTTCTATTACCTTGGCAGGGGAAATGTAATTGGGATTTTCCCACAAAGTATCACTGCCGAAACTTCCACTAAATATTTTGACTGGATTCAAAACAAATCTTGGACCAATTTCGGTTAATGCACCATCCTCTGTTAAAATTTGGAAGTTTCGGAACCATATCCTATTGTCTAGAACAGTGAATGTATATACATGATCAAAGAACGGTTGACTTTTAGGATGATGATTTGGTACACCAAAAATCTGTGTCAGTAATTCCTTCAAAAGACTATAATGCGCATGTGTGGTGAAATTTTCATCAAATGATAATAATGGCCGAGATCCTCTCAAACAATTTCCTGTCATCTTCAACTCTCCCATTGTATAAACTACAAATAAGTTAATGTGCGATTATACAAATTATGTTTAAACGTATATGTCGGCTCCATATATTAAAAATTTATTAGATGTAATATTTACTATTTTCTATGAGAAATTTTGCACTTGGACCAGTGGGTATATTAGCGAACCATATATAAAGGTCCCGCTTCATTCGACCTTCAAACAGGATAGCTTTGTTGCAATTCTTCATTTCACACATCTCGTTTACTACTTGTAAGTTCTTAGTGCGTTCCATCTTGCATTCTGGACGATGATGTGGCATCAGTTTTTTTAAATCCTCCATGAGATGTCGATGTCTATAATTGATACCTCGAGTAGCAAATACCAATACCCGTTGCCTGTTGATCCACTTCACCTACAAGAAAACAAAATTTTCCTTTTCATTAAACAAATGTATACAAAGGGTAACAGTAAAAATTAGATTATAGAAAACAATAATTTTTTTTTTTAATTATTGACTTAACTAATTTTTGTTAAATATGTTTTCTAAAAAGAAAATACTGATATGTTTTACATGTAATTCTTTTTCATTAATTAATACTTTACAATATTAATTATATTGAGTAATTAGTACAGGTTATTTGCAAACCTTTTTAGCAGCAGGTTCATCTGCCACTTTCTTTTTCGGTACATCTTCTTTCTCCACATCTTCTTTCTGCTTTCTCTTTAACGTTTTTTTCGTCATTATAGGAACAAACGAAATAAATGGTATCAAGAAAGATAAATAAGATTTTCCAATTAGATTCGTAGTACACTACTCACAGGATTAACGTGGACGTCGTGGACTGTGGCACATCACTGAGGACGCACGACCAGTGTTGCCAGTCGTAGGGAATTTTCTATATCCATATAGACATTTAAAGCTGGTTCTACATTAGTCGCTTGCAAGCGTTGCTGTCCAATAAATATCAAGCTAGATCAATCGTAATAAAGAATCAATGGCTGCGTTCAGCAGACTCAACAGTTTTGCAACCGTTTTGTGATTCTTCGTTGAGATAGGACTATTCCTTTAAATCTAAAAGTATAATCCAATCAGCGCGACGAATCATAAAACGATTACAAAACTGCTGAGTCTGCTGAACACAGCCAATTATAGTGCCAATTTATCCGGTTGCGTCTTCAGAATAGTCTAATTTTAATATTGGAGATATACAACCGGTCACAGAAAGGTTGCAACGCTTTTTTTTCGATGTTTGTATATTGGGGGTGATCCCGATTGATCACGGCTCGATTGGACACCACCAATCACAGTGACCGGTGCTTAGGAGCTTTGTAGTCTCAAGCGCTGTGAGTGGCTCGTGTCCAATTGAGCCGTGTCCAACTGGGTGCCACCCAATGGGAGAGAGAATGAGAGGGAGATTGGCCGTCTTCCACAGGCCCTCTCTCTCATTATTGTCGACCACATTTGATACACTAGTTAGATACAGATCGCGCAATCCATTCTCTATGTCTTTGCCCCAGATTTACAATAACCCTGCATTCGTTTACGCAGTGGTTAGCGCAGAAGTATTATTTTATTCTTGTTGTTCATCGAGTGTTAAACAAGGATTAAATGATACTCTCTGCGGTAACCTCTGCGTAAACGAATACATCCTTGTGCTGGATTCACACTGCATCCGATTTTCGTCGCGGGATCCGATAGCACACATCATTAATTGGCCAATTTAAAATAAAATATTCTCATTGGTAAAGTAGTGAAAAATTACTAGGCACCGGCCAATTTAAGTGGATGTGCGCTATCTCACTGTGCGCTAATGGGACCCTCCCGATTCACCCATTTCTTATGGCTTAAGGCTTAAAACCCTATTGTAGTTCCAGACTAAGGGCTATCGCACATGAAATGCATAACAGAGCATAAGCATAACATAAGGCCGCTAAACCAATGAGTATCTTATGTAAATCAATATGGCGACATTATGCTAGATGCTCATTGGTCCAGCAGTCTTATGTTATGCTTATGCTCTGTTATGCATTTCATGTGTGA